GAATTTTGCATTTTTTGTCTATGGCAGGTAAAAATCATTTATGTATAAAATAAAAAGAAGTGGTCCCAGGACACTGCCCTGTGGAACACCTAACGTATTTTCAATTTTTGATGGAATGGTATCATTAACTTGCATCCTTTTAAACGAATAATTTCTAAACCAATCTAAAACACTTCCTGATATACCATATGCCCTCAATTTACCTAACAAAATATCTCTATCAATCGCTTCAAATGCCCTCTTCAAATCCAAAAATACTATGACAACTTCTTCTGAGTCTCTGGCTCTTCTCCAATTCTCAGTTACCAACTGGAAAGCCGTTTCTGTGGAATATTTTTTTCGAAAGCCTGCTTGCGCCTCCACTAAAATTTTGTTTTCTTCTATAAACTGCATTAATTGGTCATGCACTATGGACTCTAATAATTTTTCAATGTCTGGTAACACATTTACTGGTCTCATATCGATGCATCTTTTAGAATTTTTTATTTTGGGAACTGGTGTTATTGTAGAGCATTTCAAATTTTCAGGACAAGAACTGCGTCTCAGTGAACAATTGATCCAATTTAATACAGGATATCCCAAAATTTCGAAACAGTTTTTCAGCACGTTTTTAGTAGTGATTTCGGCACAGTTGTTGTGTGATTTTAGACTGTTCACATTTTATCTCAGATAATTCAATGATACACTGTGAAATTTTGAAAGTGTATGCAACATTTCCCCCTGGAAACTGATTTACAATACACAATATCAATAATACTTTGCACAAAATAATCATTTAGTTTGTTTGCAATCACCAAAGAATTTGTTTCGGTACCCTTCTCGAATTGAACTTGATTTACACAATCCTGCGACTTCGAATTGATCAGTCTTTCTAAAGTTTTCCACATCTTTACACTGTCGCACTTGTTACTATCGATTTGTTTATCGTAGAATTTCCTTTTTCCTTCTCTAATTACATACACACATTTATTCCTAAGAGTTTTATATACCTCCCAATCATCATTTGATTTTGTGAATATACATTTTTTGTATTGTTTGTCTCTCAAATTTTGAGCTGCCTTAATATTTTTGTTATATCAGGGTGTATTTTTTGTCGAGCAAATCACTTTTTTATCAGATGCAAGATCTAAACAAGTTTTTATATTTCCTATTATGTTGACATATATTTTTTCCATATTCTCACCAAAATTCCAATAGCAGCCATCAAGTTCTCATTCAAGTTTTTTTGTAGTTAATAGTATTCACGATTTTCTTAATTTTTTTATCAGAAAAATGTCCTACCAAGGGCAGCATTGCCCAACTGTGATCACAAACTTTAGGTGTATGTACAGCTTTAATCCCTACACATTCGAAATTTACAATAACAAGATCTAACAAAGTCTCTGATAATGATGTTATTCAGGTACTCCCTTCAATTGTTTGCTTGAACCCATAGTTATTAATGGTTTCTTTCAATTTTCTTGTTTTCATGCTTTTGCTATAATAATTTAAATTAAAATCACCTAAAAGTATTATTAGAATTATATTTTTTCTGAAATTACACATTTCTTTGCATTTCTCTTCAAAAAAACATTAAAAATGTATCACTGTTTGATGAACGGTAAAAAGTACAAAGATCATAACGTTTCCCAAATAAGTTAGACTATGCATACCAGTATGCATAGTCTAAAGTGGTACAATCGAATAATTTGATCTGTATTTTGTGGTAAACATAAATCACTACACCTCCAGTATGTCTGAAGTTGGAGTTGCATCTGTAGGTTTTATAATTAGTAATTTGTAATTCACCAACAGTGATGTCTTCTGTGGCTTGTGTTTCGGTAAGACATAATACAAGTGGTTTTCTCCATCTTAAAAACTGTTGAACTCCATCTATATTATTCAGTACACTTTGTATGTTTAAATGGTATATTGAGTTATATTCATCACTTACAGATCTAACCACATCTTGCAAATCTGGACTTAGTAGTTGCTATTCATTAGCATAACTAATTTTTTCCCTCTCACGCTCAATTTTCCTTTTATATACTTCACAATTTTTGTCAAATGGTCCATGATTAATAGGTAATCCTAGATCAAAATCCTGGTTTGCATTTTTACAATTTGGACAACATTTGTACATTTCACTGGTACTACAGTTTTCTGTTGAACGTCCTTCTAATCCACAAGTAATACATCTTCCTGATTTTGTGCATTATTTAGCTGTGTGGTTAAGCCCGGTACATTTATAGCATCGCAAAATATTGATGTATAACACACTTAAAGGTCACAGCATCCACTTCTAAAATTGCTTGATATTTAGTTTTCATTTGCTTGACTGTAATTACTCTCATATGTAAATTTTCTTAAAAAGATTCATTTTGCGATTTTATAGTATTTATTAGCTCGTCTTCTGCATATTCTTGACAAAATCCAATAACTTTGATTTGTGGTTATTTAATTATCTCTGAAGTTTTCACTGTATATGTTTCTGGCATTTTTGATTTTACTTCTTTATATAGCTTCACGATATCGTCTTTGGTTTCACATTGGATTTTCACTCCACCATCCTTCAACCCATAAACTTTTTCAATAACAATTTTCAAACTTGTAGGATTCACACATTTTGCGATGTCTTTCTTTGTGTTATTACACTCTTGTTGGTTATTAGGCTTAACAATGACTCTAGTTGTGGGTTATAATACTGGTCATTGTTTTTTTGCTGTACGTGTTTGAAATGGTAAGCATTGCTGCTTATATTCTACCATTGCTGTAGGCGAATGAACTTGAAGCTTTAACCATATCAGCGTAAGTTGTAATTGTTTCTTGTAACTTCTGTTGCGTCTTCCCAATTTTTTTGTTTACTTGGTCTATCTTTTCGTACAATTCCTTTATTAATTTTTCTTGAATCGAAATGGTATAATCGTTTAATATAAAAACGTCCTCTGTACAAAATCTCTTTTCACTCAGTGAGACCACACTCTCCACTTCCTCACTAGCTCCATCCTTTTTAGAGTTCTCCTCCATATTCAAACTAAAAATTCAGGAATCTCCTAAAAACCATTTTTTAGCTTGACCTAATTTTTGACATTAGAAGTCAAAAAAGTATTTCCAGTGTTAATTGCTGCAATCTCTTCCGTGTGGGATCTGCAGTTGCAAACAGGTGTGGCAATATATGTACATATTTTGTTAATCTTCCCGGTGAGCCTTGGTTGATATTTTTATGTGTGGTCTTTACCAATATTTCGTGTATGTGTTGGATCGAATAGAAAGAGCAAGTGTAGTAGTTAATAGTAAATATTAGTGGTGGTAGAATTGTTAGAGTGTCCAAATCTCGCCTCCTGTAATGTTATTACTGATAAAGGAGACGCCAGTTATACTAAGTGACATATAAATCCGAACACCCAGTTTAAATAGTTTTATTTTAATAAAAGTTGGTGAATGTATTTATCTTACTGTAAATAACAAGTGAAAAAATTTTCAGCCTTATCAGTTGGACATTCCGGTTTTTATACTGCTTTTTTTTAATTCACTAACGCACTAAAAATGAATATTTCAGCCGCAGTAAAGAATCAACGTTGGAGGATTTTGGTTCTTGACATCCTTTACGATCGGTTACGATGCCTAGAGTACGGAGACCTGTACGATTTCGTCAACTTAGTGAGTTTGATAGGGGCCGTATAGTGGGACTTCGGGAAGCTGGACTTTCTTTTCGGGCAATTGCAGTTAGAGTGCAAAGAAGTATAGACACTTTGGTTAGGTGTTGTCAGGCATGGATTCGAGAAGGCCGTACGCAAAGAGCAAGGGGCACTGGACGCCGCCGTAGAACAACAGACCGTGAAGATCGCCGCCTAAGATTATTGGCCTTAAGGGACCGTTTCTCCACTACCAGGTCCATTGCAAATGAATGGTTTGCAGAACACGGAAGACCTATTGGCATGCGAAGTGTTTACCGACGAATGAGAAGTTGTGGCTTGTTTTCATACCGGCCACACTGGGTCCTCCCTTTAACTCGAGAACACCGACGTAATCGCCTTGAGTGGTGCAGACAACGATCACTCTGGGATCAGGAATGGAACAGTATTGTCTTTAGTGACGAGTCTCGATTTTGTTTAGGCATGCACGATGGTCGTGCCAGGGTTAGAGGGTGACGTGGTGAAAGGAGGAATCCACAGTTTTTTGTTATATATATAGCTTATGGTTCCAGGTCACCTTTAATCTTCATCAGAGGTAACATGAACGCGGAGCGTTATATCCACGAAGTTCTAGAACCCCCGACCACATGTTGACTTCTTTCAACAAAATGATGTCATATTGTTACCTTGGCCACCAAGATTTCCCGACTTATCCCCAATTAAGCACGTATGGGATATGATGGGTAGGAGATTGCTCAATTTGCAACGTCCTCCTCAGACTCTAGAAGCACTTCGAGAGGAGTTGGTGGTTGCCTGGAATGAGATACCACAGGAGGACATTGACCACCTGATCAGAAGCATGCCTAGGCGCGTTGGAGAATGCGTAGCACATCAGGGTGCATCCATACATTATTAAAGGTCAAAGGGCTTTAAAGCAGTGCAATCATTTTGAAATTTTTATCATTTACTTATTATGCTTCATTAAGTACTTATACAAAATTTTATTAAAATAAAACCATTTAAACTGGGTGTTCGGATTTATATGTCACTTAGTATATTTTTATGTGTGGCCTTTACCAATATTTCGTGTATGTGTTGGAACGAATAGCAAGAGCAAGTGTAGTAGTTAATAGTAAATACTAGTGGTGGTATAAGGTGGTAGAATTGCTAGAGTGTCTAAATCTCGCCTCCTGTAATATTATTACTAATAAAGCAGATGCCAGTTATTATTATTATTTACAGTAATCGTACAATTATATTACAGACACAGAGATAGAGCTAGAAATTCAATTACTCTATTACTCTTGACTCTCGATGCTCAAAGCTTTCAAGAAATTGCACCTTAAATTTCCACCAAAATAGCTGATGTTTTCTTTTAATTTACAGGAAGCCTTACGGCCTCTTCATCCGCGACACAAAACTCAAGCGGCGCGCTATTTTGAAAAACGGCGAGTACAATGTCTTGCAACCCAAATTCCCGAACCGATATTGGAACTATTTGAGAGATCCTTATACCAGTCTAGTTGATGCAGAATGGAAATGGAACCTTCAGGCGATGGCCATAGGGTTTCTGGGGTGCTGGTTGACCTTTGCCCTTCTCTGGTGGTTGATTGCATTCGTTCATACGGATCTTCAAGATGATCATTTACCCGACAGGCAGGGAGAAACAGGTGCGTAATACAGGATGCGGCAGAGAGGATGGACGGTTTTAAAAAAATCATAAAATAGTTAATTTTTACTCGAAAACAAATTTATTGACGGAATCAGGTTCACAAGGAAATAGCATTTGAGACAGTCAAGCGTGTAAAATCACATCAGGCATGTGGTGGCCGAAATCGTTGATGCAGTGCTGGAGGCGTTCTTGGAATTTCGCGTAGACTCTCTCCAACATCGCTCTCTCAACTTGGGCGACTTCCACGCGAATTTCGCCCTTCAATTCGTGCAGAGTTCGGGGATTGTTCGCGTATACTCTAGCCTTGAGGTGTCGCCATAAGAAAAAATCGCATATGGATAAATCTGGGGACCGAGGAGGCCAATGAACATCGCCAAACCTGGAAATAAGGCGACCAGGGAAGAGAGGACGTCTCGTCCGTCCTCTCTGCCGCACCCTGTATAAATACGAGGATTGTCTCGAAAATAAGGCTTCCACAGGATTTTTTTATTTGGAAAAACGAATTTACTAATGGAGACGTTGATCTATAAGCTACTTTTCTACATAGTCGCCACTTTTTCTACGCGTTTTTTTAGATGTTAAATCCATTTTTTCACTCCCGTCTCAAAGAAGGCCGCTGCCAGCCTGCTTAGAAACTTGGTAACTGCACCCTGCAACTCCGGGTCCGTCTCGAACCGTTGACCGCCTAGGTGCTCCTTCAATTCCGGAAATACTATGTCTGGGCTGTAACGGGGATGGGCAATGACTTCTCAGTCAAATTGCTCGATTTAGTCCTTGGTTTGTTGTGAGACATGAGGATGCTCGTTGTCGTGGTGCAGCCTGACTCAGTTATTTTAGGAGCCTCAGGAATTTCAACCGCCTGTTCCCGGATCGTCATTCGCCGATTTTCGAGCAAGATTTGCTCAATCTTCGCCACAACTTCCTCGGAGATCGACGGCCTCCTGCATCGTGAATGACCATGAGACCGTCAAATAACTGTCTTCACCATTTGAGGACATGTTGAACGCTCATACACGTTTCCCCATATACTTCACTCAACTGGCGATGCATTTCTATGGGTGGTAACCTTTTTGCTTGCAAAATTCGGATGACCGCACGAATTTCGCACCTGGCGGTAACGGCGATGAAGGGCTCCATTGCCTAAAGCTGTCAGGCAGGTACCGAGGGTCACCGATAGGCGCTTCCTGTTGGGATCAGTGGCGGGGAGCTGACAAACACGACGCTGTTAAAAATTTCGCCTAGCATCACGCGCGGCAAAGTAATTGCGCTGGGAACAATAATTTTGGAACAATCCTCGTAAGAGAATAACTTGAACAAACATTTCAGTGAATAATTGATTTATTTATTTATTTATTTCCAACAGGTGAAACCTAATTACAGGAAACGCTGAAAAAAATAACAATTAAAGAGACATGGTTCTTGGACTTAAATCTATAGTATCACACATTCTAAATAAGATTGGATGATCTATAGCAGTTAATAATCGATGCACAACTGTCACTGTAAATATCACACGATTCAGTAACACTGTTCATGACGCAGCACATGAGATTAATTGGCGATTTTGTCATAACATTTGTACGGCCAGCCTGACAATAGAATGCCGGTTGTTGTCGACTCCGAAGCCTTGGAACGCGAAAACATATTTTTTCAAGTAAACTTTGACAGTCAATTTTATTGTGAATGAGGCCATACAAAAACGACAAAGCAAATATGTTTCGTCTTGTTGACAGTGAATCCAAATTGAAAGACTCTAATAGGGCACTATGGTCACAACCTCTTTCTGGATAAGAACCTGTGCATTTAAGGTGGAAATACTTTAAAGCTTTACGTTGAATGGCCTCAAGGATCACGACAGAATTTTGGCATATAGGAGACCAGATCAGAGTCACATACTCCAACTTGCTCCTGACAAAAGTAAAAAATAAAGTCATTAATGTATCAACATTGGAGAAACCCATCCAGTTTCTGATACAGAAACCAAGTAGTCGAGTGGCAGCCGATGAGATATTGAGTATATGCTCAGTAAACGTTAGCTTGGTATCAAAAATGACTCCAAGGTCTCTATAAGAGGTGCATCTGTCTATAATCTGACCATTGATGTTATAATTATCATAAATTAAATAGTTAACTTTTCTTGTAAGTCATAACTTTACATTTCGAAACATTCAGACTGAGACAGTTTCGTGAACACCATGACGAAATTAGAGCTAAGTCATCTTGCAACATGACGCAATCCTCGACTGTCTTGACTGACGTGCAGATTTTAAGGTCATCAGCGAAAAGCAAATGGAAACACTTCAGTTCAAAAGACAAGTCATTGATAAATATTAAAAACAATAATGGACCTAGATTTGACCCTTGATGTACCCCAGACGTGGCCCGATAGTAACTCAACCTATGACCACCATATTCGACAAATAACCTTCTATCCCTCAAATATGAATTCATGAGAGACAGCATTGCATCAGACATACCCACTGCTTTAAGCTTATCCAGAAGTGCATAATGATCAACTTGATCAAACGCCTTCTGAATATCTGTGTAGATGACATCAATCTGTCCCTGACCGTCCACTACTTCAGAAATGTACTGAGTAATCAGAGCCAAGTTGGTGACCGTAGATCTGCCTCTCATAAACCCATGCTGATTAATAGAGACTGCACCCCTGACCGAGCAGTAAACCGTTTCATAAGCGATGATCTCAAACAACTTGCTGAAATTGCACAGGATTGCTATTTGGCGATAGTTGGAAATATCAAAGATATCTTCACTTTTGTGAATTGGACATATTTTAGAGGTCTTCCAGATATTTGGATATGTCTCTGATTTTAGAATTAGGTTGAATATGGAAGCTAGTATATGAATGCAATCTTTAACGAAAAAACTTGGAATACCATCACATCCAGACGTCATCTTGTTCTTTAATCTTTTCGAAGCCCTAATTACGTTTTCTTCACTTATATTTTTTAAAGAAATGATATCGGTAGAATTATTTGTTGGTGGAGATGACCCTAGTAGACCAGACGGGATAAAAACTGTTGAAAAGAAGGTAGCAAAACTGTCCATTATATCCTGAGGCGTGTCGCAGACATTGCCGTTAAGCGTCATCCTTGGGGGGATTCTAGATTGCTGTTTTTTGATCTGGGCAAATGACCAGAATTTGCTAGGATCATTGACAATGGCATCCTCAACCGATTGGACGTAAGCGGAGTAGGCAACACTGATCTGGTTCTTAATGAGCTTCCTAAAATTACTGAACTGATCATAAGAAAACTTAGTACCGTCACGTTTCCAGTTCCTATTAAGTATAATTTCACGTGTGAACCATGGGGGAGACGAAAACATTTTATTTTTACGTTTAGGGACATGGACCTCAAAGATCTTATTGATAACTGAATACAAGGCGGTACAAGCGACATCAACATTAACTGCACTGATCACCTCCGTCCAATTAACATCTTGCAAGGCTGTGTACATTTCAGGAAAGTTAGCTTTGCGAAAGTTAAACCGTGGAGAATTAGCAAATGGGAATTTCGTTGGAGATCCGGATGTAATGAATTCCATGATCAGTGCAGGATGATGAACGTCCTCTTTAACAGAAGGTGTATTATCTCTGAGGACTTCTATTTCGATATTTCCTAAAATTAAATCCAGTATTCGACCATTTATATTTGGAATATTATTAAAATTAGTTAAATCTAAAAACGAAATAAAGTTGCTCATTAATTGACACTTCTGATCATTAACGTCACTGTTGAATGATGCGACATTAAAGTCACCAGTAACAATTATTTTACAATTACTGAATGCATTGTTAAATACTTCCAAAGCTTCAAGGTACTGACCAAACATGTCCAAATTAATTGAAGGCGGAATATAAATAGAAAAGATAACAAAATGCTCATGGTTAATAATAAGCCTAATACATACAGTATCAATCGACGGAAAGTTAATCCGGAAGTGTACCTCCTCTATCTCTATTCTCTACACCTTTTATTTCTTTATTTTTTTATATCGACGCAGGCGCGCAGGCAGAAGTCTAAATGCCGGAACACTGCGGCTGCTATGATGATCCCAAAGAAATTTTGTTAATACGATTTTTGAACTGCCTAATGTTAATAGAACTGGGAAAAGCTTCCTCTTGTAGATTGGAGGCCATAGGATGGAAGTTTGCTTAAAAGGGCAGCGTGCCACAGCTGATCGAACGCTTTCGTGATGTCAAGAGCAACGACATGAGCCTCAACATAAGACTGGATGAGTTTACTCCACAGTTGAGTGACTTAAGCTAGGAGGTCCCCTGTGGATCGTTGATGCCGAAAACCATACTGCCTGTCGCTAATCAAGCTGTGACATTTGAGGTAGTCCAGAAGCACGCGATTTATGCACCTCTCCATCACCTTACTTAAAACAGAGAGCAGAGCTATAGACCTGTAGTTGTAAGGTTCGGTCTTAGATCCCTTTCTTGGGATGGGTTGGACATGAGTAATTTCCAGTTTTCTGGGAAGGTGCCGGATTCATAAGGTATCTGGAAGAGACGCGGAAGAACTGGAGCAAGCGCCGCTGCGCACCTCTTCAGTACAATGGCAGGAATCAAGTCCGGACCAGAAGCTTTGTTGATGTCGAGAGACAAGGGCACTCGTCGTACGGTCTTATGCCTGAATGTTACCTCCCGCATAGTGTAGAGAACCCTTTGAATTGACGGCACTTGGGCATTGGTGGGGACGTCGATGGTGAAGTTGGCAGCAAAGATCTTGGCTAGCACTTCCGCATTGGTCTTTGAGTTGAATACAATAGTTCCATCCTGACACGTAAGTGGTGGAAGGCTACTGTGTGAGAAGTTCTTTTCAATCTGCTTGGCCAGCGTCCAGAAAGACCGACTGCCATTGCGCTGCGATATTGCCCTGTGTCTAACCTTTATGTCGCGCTGGTTTTTGGCATTGCGAATCGCTTCTTTATATTTGTTTCTGGACTCGACGTCGGCTTGTCTGTTCTCTACAGTGGGGTTTTGTAAGTAGGTTCTGTGGGCCTTGATCTTCTGCTGGCGAGCAGTGTCACACGATTTGTTGAACCAGCCGTTGGACCCTGGTTTAGGAACTTTCACTGTGTGAGGGATGTATTCCTCCATTCCGACGTGGATAATTTCGGTTATTGAAGAACAGACAGTCGACGCATCCACGTCAGTGAAACAGACATCTCTCCAAGGAAAGCTAGAGAAGAAGTCTCTGAGCCCCTCCCAGTCGGCATGTCCGTAATGCCAAGTTTTGCGGCCTGTACGAGTTTCTGCTCTCACAGCGGGTTCTGACCGAAACCTAACCTCCACAACACCGTGGTCTGAGTTACCCAGAGGGGGACATTACAGCAGTGCTGTAAGGGACAGGATGCGTGGTCAGAAAGAAATCCAGCAGGCTACTGGCGTGTGACGAGACGCGAGGGAAAAAAGTAGGGCTCGTCACCAGCTGGGTCAGCCCTTGAGTAAGAGCGAACGCTTCGACTGCACGACCCGCTGCATCGGTCTTGTTTGAGCCCAGCCAAAGCTCATTATGGGCATTGAAATCACAGAATGTTATTCCGGTCCGATTCCAAAGAAACATCTCTGGAGCAGGAAGGACTGCTGCGGACAAAAGCCACAACTCCCCCGTTCTTTCTTAGATTGGAGTGCACCTCGTAGTTTGGGAAGTTGAGATGGTTAATCGGTGCAGATTCTGAGATTTTTGTCTCCGCCAAGAAAAGCACGGCGGGACGATTGGATTGCAGGTAGTGATGAACAGCATGAATGTTGCTGTTAATCCCGCAGACCTTCGAAAAACAAATTTTATCGTCGATGTTGTTCTCTCGAGTCCACCCTCCACCCGGACATTCCGAGAGTGGAGTGAGTTTACGTCCGAAGTTCTTAGTGCTCGAGGGATCCATCATCATTAATTTCTTTGTTTTGAAAGATATGCTAGTTGGGTATTGCTTTGGATGTATCATCTCAGAACTTTCAGAAAACGTTGAAGAAACCTCCTCGAAGTATTGGAGAGATTGGTGGATAATAAGGGACGAAGCACTGGAGGCGGACCCGCTCACTAGCAGAGAGCATGAGGAAACCCCCAATGCAACTCCTGTGTCACTGTGAACGTCTGGCAATGCTATGGTTTCAGACAGTAGGAGCCACAGGACAAAGGATCAAGGCTAGACACAGTGCTTTAGACAGTATATAGAATACAATAGCTCCACTTGAGTCGCACTGACATTAAGGTTGGCAAGCCAACCCCTTTCTTCGGTAACCTGTGGCCTATTGGTAGACCAAATGTTACTTAATTTCCTTTGAGGAAATCTCTGATTAATGTTAACTTTTTCCGAATCTCAATTTTTTTGATAATCTTCCTCGATATAGCTGATGTATTTGAGTTTCATTTCACAGGTTGGACACCATGTGTACTGAGCATCTACGGATTTCCTTCATGCTTTCTGTACTCTCTGGAAACTCAGCATACAACTGGATATGGCCTCCGAGCAATCACAGAAGAATGTCCTGAAGCTATATTCCTCATGTGTGCTCAATGTCTCATTGGTTAGTATACAGGGCGGTTCAAAGAACAACGGCAATATTTCTAGTTCAGAAAGTACATCGAAAACTAAAAGAGGTTTCTAGAAATCTGTCCTAAAATATCCTATTACCAAGATACATGGTATTGTAAACTTCTACACCACTGATGAGACTCATATATGGACAATATATATATATATACAGGGTGTCCGCAAAGTTGGGGTTTTCCTTTACACGACGTGTAGATCTTGAAAAGATAAGCAATTTTTCTTAGTACCATATACACCAATGTCTTAAGGGAACCGAGATAAAGGTCTCTGCAACATGAAAAATATCTGATAACCGTCCTGTAGCCGCGACCCGCGACATCCCCGACTGGTACTAGGACACTAGCTCAACCCGACGACAGAACTGGGTCGGGGTCAGTGTGTCAGGTCAGTATGCAACCTTCAACCGACGGTTACGGTTACGCGTGTAGAGGTAATCGCGTAGACGAGAATCCCTCAACAAGCACTAGAGACGTGGCTAGAGAAGTGCAAGTATCAAAAACTAAAGTGTGGCAAACGCTGCGTGAAGAGGGGCTGTATCCGTTTCACGTCCAACGTGTACAAGCCCTTCAACCTGACGATTTTCCAGCAAGAGTGCGGTTTTGTGAGTGGTTGTTGCATCAACATGACAATAATCCGGACTTTTTGAAGTGCATATTGTTGACAGACGAATCTACGTTCACGCGTAATGGGGTGAATAACTTTCGCAACACTCATGTTTGGTCAGTAGAAAATCCGCACGCTGTCCGTCGGGCACATTTTCAACAAACATTTTCGATGAATGTTTGGGCTGGCATGGTGAACGGAATGCTCATTGGACCATTTATACTCCCAAATCGATTGGACGGGATGGAATACCTAGACTTTTTACCCAACATTTTGCCTTCCTTGTTTGCCTGCGTCTGCTCGGTAGCGCATCAGCTGATTTCATTTTCTGTTGGAGCGGTATGATTTCGGGCAGAGCCGTACTTAGCCCTTCTCGTCAACTGGAGAGTGAGTACTTTTTCCTTTATTTTTTTTTACTTGGTCGCCCTCGTTTCACTACACATTACCTTTGTTATTTCAAGGGTAGTTGTTTCTGAAAAGGAAAACCCCAACTTTGCGGACACCCTGTATATGTATTTTTCAAACAAGGCTGTGGTGAGATAATCTAATACTTTTATACGGATCATACATGACATATTCAAACCAGTCCTGTACCGTGGCCAGCTAGATCACCAGATTTAAATCCTATGGATTTCTCCTTCTGAGGTGATTTAAAACGACGCGTTTACAATACGCCAGTGGAAATTGTAGATGCTCCAAATCCTTTGGAGAGTGCACCAAGGATTAGTTCGTCGAGGTCGAGCGTGTTTTAGGCAAGGTGGTGCTCATTTTGAATAATTTTTGTAACTATTTTTGTTGACATTTGTTATTGTTAAAGACCATGGCAACGCTATTCAGATATCATTCAAAGCAACTTGATTATTATGGTATAAACATGTTTAATCATCATGGTACAAATAATGCATTGGAACCTTTAAAAACAAATATCTCGAAAGCTATTAGCTTTAGGCATTTCTAACAAGTAAACCTTTTTTGTTGTGGAGATACGAGAAAATAAGATTTTTCAGTCAGTTGTTGTATACAGGGTAGCACAAAAATGTTATGATACGTTATTCACAGAAATAGTCGTGTAAGTGGCGCCCTCTAGAAGTTTGGCCATAAAGAAATAACGGATTCTTGTTTATCATACTAGAAAACTTCCCTATACTGAGCTTTATGCCATAATCTGAAATACTTCTCAAGGAATAAGGTAAAATAGCAAATTAGTAAGACACTCGCAAACTATCAACTTTTGTACTGAGGTATATTTAGGTCAATTCACATATTTTGGTCTGTAGTATCCCTAGTTTCGAGGCTTCTCAACCTTTTGCAGACCATATATATCCTCGACTTATACTTTATGATATTTTCAAGTATTGGTTTACTAGATTGGCCAGCGGCTACATTCCGCCATTTGCATCATATTTTTAATGTCATGCTGTAATGTTAATGATGCAATAAATACATATTACTTACTACATATTACGAAAAATGTATTTAATTTGAAATGAGTTTCTTTAGCTTTTAACTAAAGCATAGTAGTGGGCTGACATTCAAGCTTTACTAATTTTCAGGTACAATAATTGATTCCTTCACAGTTGGAGCTGTCATAGCTAAACTCACTAGACCAACGATGAGTAACAACACGATTATGTTCACTAGAAATGCTGTCATTTGTCTCATGGATGGTGTACTTTGCTTGATGTTCAGGTTAGGCGATCTACGAAAAAGAAAACTTATAGGTAGGTTTCTCTTTCCGAGAGCCCAATAACAACTTAGACATTAGATTTATTGATCACTCAACATATACGAGCCCCTTCCCACTTCAGTTGGCCCAACTATTGAAATCTTAGTTTTTTTCTTATCAAACACAAATAATAAAAATTTAGCAGGGTCTTATAGGTTTAAAATATCAACAATGAATGTTTTGATAACATACAGGGTGTCCGCAAAGTTGGGGTTTTCCTTTCCAGGGACAACTACGCTTGATATAACAAAGCTAACACTGATCAACAGTCAAAAAATATCCTAAATAAAATCAACAAAATATTACTATTTTTAATGTGCTAAAACCGGAATGAAACTTATTTTTTCAATATTAGTTTAAGTTTTAGAGATACGGTAATTATATGTGTTCCTGCTGTGACAGTGTTAATATACTGTAATTCACAAGAATGCACGTGCTACATTTTTATATTCGGCAAGGAAAGATGATGTAATCGGCATGATTGTGTTTCGTTATACATACGTGAACATTATTACATTATTGTTTTATATTAGCCATTTTTTCCTCAGTTGGCTGACAGCGTTCATGCAAGATGTCTCGAAAGTGTGTAAACAATCCAGATCAGTTTTGTTACGTGTGTGGTGATGTGACTTTTGCGTCTCAGAGACGGTCTATTACTCCACTAATAACAAAGGCATATCAGCTTTATTTCGGTTGTGAACTAGGTGATCAAGACAAACAGTGAGCACCCCACATCTGCTGTAATACATGTGCTTCAAGTCTGAGGAGCTGGTTAAATGGCAAAAAACGGTCTATGCGCTTTGCTGTCCCAATGGTTTGGAGAGAGCCTACAAATCATATTAATGATTGTTACTTTTGCATGGTACCTTGTGTTGGACAAGCCACAGGTATGTCCAAGAAAAAAAAACGGTTATTAACTACCCAAACATACCATCTGCGATGAGACCTGTGCCTCACAGTGACGAAAATCCTATTCCAAAACCCCCAGAATCCTACACTTGCGAATCAGAAAACGAATCAGATCATGGCGATCGAGTGATTCGTCAGGAAGAAGATATGCCATCAACGTCAAGAGATCCTGATTTTATACCGAGCACGTCATGCCACCAACCGCACAAAATAACACAGTCAGAATTAAATGATCTTGTAAGAGATTTAGAACTTCCAAAATGTAAGGCAGAGTTACTTGGATCAAGACTGCAGCAGTGGAACTTGTTAGAAGACGATGTTTCGGTATGTGTTTTTTGTAAACGCCACAAAGACCATTTTTCAATATGGAGAATAACTTGGTTTTCTGCAGTAACATTAACGGCTTAGTGGCGGCTTCAAATATAAACTATAACCCAGAAGAATGGAGATTGTTTATAGACAATTCAACATTGAGTTTAAAGGCAGTGTTATTGCATATTGGAAATATTTTACCATCTCTTCCTGTAGCGTATGCAGTTCACATGAAAGAATCATATGACAATATGAAGTACCTATTGACATGCATAAAATACGATGAGCACCAATGGCATATTTGTGGCGATTTGAAAGTTGTTGCACTTTTACTTGGGCTGCAGCTAGGCTACACAAAGTTTTGCTGTTTTTTGTGTGAATGGACCAGTCGGGCAAAGGCACTTCATTACACCAGACAAAACTGGCCTGTTCGTCAATTCCTAGAGCCAGGTCAAAAAAATGTACAGCATATGCCATTAGTAGATTCGAAAAAAATTTTATTACCACCACTGCATATCAAGTTGGGCCTAATGAAAAACTTTGTCATAGAGACGGGTCAGCTTTTCAATACCTGCGTCAGAAATTTCCATGACTAAGTGAGGCAAAGGTTAAAGAACGTATTTTTGTTGGGCCACAGATTCAAAATATTTTGAAAGATACACAGTTTGAAAACACTTTAACAGGTATTGAAAAAACTGCTTGGAATGATTTCCGTCTGGTGGTCACTAATTTCTTAGGAAATAGAAAAGCTGACAACTATAAAACCCTTGTCAAAAATATGCTGTCATCGTATCAAAAGATGGGCTGTAATATGTCTCTTAAGATACATTTCCTACACTCACACCTGGACTTTTTTCCTGACAATTGCGGAGCCGTAAGTGATGAGCACGGCGAACGTTTTCATCAGGATATTTCAACAATGGAAAAAAGGTACCAGGGAAAGTGGAATCCTTCCATGCTTGCAGACTACTGTTGGACTCTTGGTAGAGATGCTCCAGAAACGATCCATAAAAGAACAGCAAAAAGACAGCGCATATAGTGATTCTTATAAGTATATGAATCTTGTTACTTTTTTTAATATATCCTTAAAAATAAAAAGTTTTTTTTCTAAACCGCAACTAATTTTTTTATTTCATTGTCATTTTTGGATTCAACGCCCCAAAATTAACAAAGAAGTGCACTTTTCTCACAAGATACAATTAAAAAACTAAAATTTGTTGTCCAGTGTAATTAATGTGTGGAGAAACGTGAGCGAACAAGAAAAACAAATGTTCAGTTGAATTGAAGTTCCAAGTGCGGCTCTGTCGTAAAATCCGTACTTTCATCGTAGTTTCTACGTCGCGTCGTGTAACTGTGGGCTAGCGCTGTGGACTTGATCGAGGGATAGGACAGAACCGGCTTCGGTTTGGTTCAGGTTTGATTCAGTTTGCGGAACCCAATATCTCGGTTCCCTTAAGACATTGGTGTATATGCTACTAAGAAAATCCGCTTATTTTCTCAAGATCTACCCATCGTTAAAGGAAAACCCCAACTTTGCGGACACCCTATAGTAGAAAACACCAAATTATCAAATTTGCAGCATAAAAATAACACATGTTGCAGATACAGTAAATCAACCTATTTTCATTTCAATGCAAAATAAGTCTATAACGCTTAGGTAGCTGTGAAAAATAAAAGCCATGACAATTGTATTTATTAATTACAGCTGTCAGAATACGTTTAAAATAGTTTTGGGTAGTTAAGGTTTTCAAAATGTGTAGAGGAAAGGTTATTAGTGAGAAAATTCGATTACTGATAATTAATTTTTTTAATTCTGGGAAATCAAACTCAGAAATTGCAACTTTGTTAGACTTATCGCGGTACAGTGCGAGAAATATTGTTAGAAGATATAACGTAACTGGTTCAGCTAATATTAAGCCACGAGATGCGAAAAAAGGTAATATCACAAATGCCGACCGAAGAGCATTAAGAAGAATAATCGTGAAAAACAGGCGTGCCAATTATTTACAATTAAGTGCTCTGTGAAGTGACGCTGAACGAAGGAGAATTTCGAGGTCTACAACTCATAGAGAGGCCCACAAACTGGGATTTAGCACTTGCAAGGTAAGTTTTCTTATAAAAAAAAAGTGAAGTAAAAACCCTGAAGTTGCACAACTTGTTTATAGGCCAATGAAAAGCCACTATTAACTCCACTGCAAAAGAAAAATTGGCTTAGATGGGCTAAAGAACATAGACACTGGACACCTCAACAATGGTGTGCAATACAATGGAGTGATGAGGCACGATTCGAAATTTGTGTTGGTGAAAGTCGCAGTAGAGTTATTCGCAAAAAAATGACGCATTCCATGTTGACTGTCTGAAGAGAAAAGTGAAATTTCCAGCATCCATTATGGTCTGGGGCAGTATGTCATCAAAAGGAGTAGAAAAACTTCATTATATTGATGGAAATGAGGATACAAACAAATATTTGGCAATTTTAGAAGAATCGCTTTTACTAGTGATGGAAGAATGTTTGACATCCGGCCAAGATTTTGTGTTTCAGCAAGATGGTGCAGCGTGCCATACCTCAAAAAAGGCTATAAAATGGATGGAAGAAAATAATGTACCACTTTTGAAATGGGTTACTAGCAGTCCAGATCTGTCACCTATTGAAACTTTGTGGCACGAGATGAAAAAGGTTCTACGACAACATCCTGCTCGTACAATCTCCGAACTGAGACAAAAGCTTCAAGAAATATGTCATTGTTTTACACCAAATTTTTGCCAAAACTTGGTTAACCCTGTGCCCAGAGAATTTCAGCCGTAATCTTTCAATTGTTGCTTTGTTAACTTCGCGCATTTATTCGCACATTGTTTATTTGTTCAGATGTTCTATTAGTTATAGGTCTAAGTAATTTCAAATATGTATTTTTTACGACTAGACTGTATCTAAAATGTTTTCGAGAAAATAAATTGTTTCAGAAGTAAATAGTTTCGTCATGTTTAGTTTATAAAGGCATATTTTGGTACAAATCTTGAAGTGGGCCAACTGAAGTGGGAAGGGGCTCGTAGTGAACATGTGCAGTGTCACCTACAAAAGGTGCAAATGCAATGTAGGAATGCATTTAATTAAAAAGGACAGGTTAAAATGTATCTAAAATACAGCAGTATAGTGTAGAATATATAAAAATAATCTAAACACAAGTAACATAAAATGATACAATGAAAAACATGACTAAAAAAATATGGCTTCATATTTAAGAATTCCTTAATGCTATAAAACTAGTGAGCTTGACATATAAAATACAACACTCGGAGTTATTTATTGAATTTTGATAACTTGTAAACATATTTTCTATGATGGATCTATACGCTGATAAAATGTTGAAGGCACAAATATTCCACAGAAACAGCTTTCCGGTTCGTAACTGAAAATTGGAGAGAGCTATAGACTCAGAAGAAGTTGTCATAGCAGTATTTTTGGATTTGAAGAGGGCATTTGAAACGATTGATAGAGATATTTTGTTAGGTAAATTGAAGGCATATGGTATAACAGGAAGTGTTTTAGATTGGTTTAGAAATTATTTATCTAAAAGGCTGCAAGTTACAAAAGTTAATGACACTATTTCATCAAAAATTGAAAATACATTGGGTGTTCCACAGGGCAGTATCCTGGGACCACTTCTTTTTATTTTATACATAAATGATTTACCTGCCATAGTCAAAAAATGCAAAATTCAGATTTTCGACGATGACACTATGATTTATATAAGTACTAAAAATATTCAGTCTGGTATCTCTTATATAAATGAAGACTTGAAGCTTGTCTCAAAATGGTTAGCATCTAGCAGACTAAAATTAAATGCAAGTAAAACGAAAGCCTTGTTAATCGGAAAAAAGCAATGTACAAATGTTCAACTGAATATGGATGGTGAAGATATTGAATTCGTAGAAAATTTTAAATACCTGGGGGTTTTTGTTGACTCTCGATTAATTTTTGATATTCATTATGAGAAAGTTATAAATAAGATTAGTAGTAAAGTGGGATATTTATCGAGAGTTTCTGGATGTCCGAGTTCATATAGCAGAAAAATTATCTGTAATACCATCATTCTTCCAAATTTCTTGTACTGTTCGAGTATTCTATATTTAGCAAATAATTCCATTTTTGAAAGACTGCAAATTTTACAAAATAAGTGCATGAGAATAATACTAAATAAAGATAAATATACTCCAATTAGGCAAATGCTTAGCAAATTAAAATGGCTCAATGTAAAAATTTTTATCAAATATCTTGTAATGGTATTCATTTATAAAGTAAAAAATAATATATTTCCATCAAGTCTAACTAATTTAACATCATCAAATGTCGACCATAATTTACATAATACCAGAAATAAAGATGACTTCCATTTAATGACCAAAAAGTATAACATATGCTACAAATCTGTATTCCATCAAGGGTTGATTGAATATAATAAATTATACTCGGAGATAAAAGACCAGAAAACTTTGACAAAATTTAAAGTAAAATTGAGAAATCACTTGTTAAATCTACAATTATGGGTTGTCCAGCATTTACATCAAACACTATATGGCTTGAATTTACTAGTTCTAAGTTGTTTACAATTATTCTGTTTATGTAGCCAAATGTGCTAAATAAATCTTTCTACTACTACTACTCCGAGCCGTACCTGATCTTATGCCCTTCTCTGACGTCTGTGCAGTCAATGCACGTGTTCTTCCACCTTTTTGGAGGCTTAGACATGGTATTCGCTGCTCGCACTCCCCTATTATTCGATATATGGTTCCGTGTTAAATGTTTTCATTCTGAAATATTCGACAGATTTCAGGTTTGGGTAGCCGCCCAAACAACTTGTAAGTAGGTACTTTTTCTTATTTCTCATTTATACGATATCTTTAAACGACAACCTCCAAATAAATGAATGTCATTTGACAGTAAAGTAAGTAAACAAACTTTGGTTTCTAAATGCAACTTGATATTATTTTGAGTTTGTTAAAATTTAAGGCAATTAGTTTTGTGCCAAAACTTTTAGAAATACGTTATTGTAAATTTTTTTTAAAAATAAAACCAAATGTTGAGTATAAATTTTTATTGTTTGTCATTCATTCCAGGTGTCAGCATAAGTGCAATTTTAATCCGCACGAAGCGAACAAGAGAAGGAGAACGTTTAGACAACTATGAAACTCCCCTAGAACTACAGTGTGATGATATGGGAAGCGATATATTCTTCCTCTGGCCAATGACAGTCGTCCACAAAATAGATGCTGATTCACCTTTTTACAACCTTTCCGCCAGTCAAATGTTAAACGAAAATTTTGAAATAGTTGTGACGTTGGAAGGGTCAATAGAAAGCACTGGACAAGGTAATCGTTGTCTATACGGGGTAGTTCAGAAAATAGTGCCAATATTTCTAGAGTATGAAGAACATGGGTCCATTCCCCATAACTACCAATCCCCGATTTTCAAGGCCCAATTTTTTTCTGAAAATATTCTGGAGGTTCTGACATGTCAAAAAACTAAGTTTGAGCGGCTTTTATTCTTTTCGTTTTTTGCTCGTAGCTCTGCCGTCCCGTCGATTGTCAAAATATACAAAGCTTTTACGTCTGGTGTAGTAGCAATATTGTGACAGTCAGCTCGACCGATGTCCTAGCCCCATGCGTGTTCGCCGTTTGGTAATGGTTTGGCCATTTTGTTTTATAAAAACGAGGGTTTGACCGATATCACGATGGCTTCGTCGTGTTTGAGGTACATTGTGGTAAAAATTAACTGATGTGACTGGGGACTCAGGGGAAAGTGGTGGCTTCCAGTAAAATCGGCTACGAAACAGCTACAAGGCTGGAAGAGTGCAAATGGTGGTTTTCCGCATTACCTTCCCACGCTGAACAGGTTAAAATCCCATAGAAAAATTAAGGGCGTAGCACCAAAACTAAAGCAACTAGACGAAAGGTAGGTACAAGAAAGGGTGCTACTCAGTGAACTGGTGATTGGGGCCAAATATCCCAAAATCTGGAAACCAATCAAACGACTGATACACTAGCAGGAAAAATGACTGACGCAGAACACCTTTATAAAAGAAAGTTAAATGAGTGGCCTTTAAAATATGTTTGATAGGAAACCAAATATTTCTATATAGGTTAGTACGGAGAAAAATCACAGAGTGGCGCTGATTGCCAATACGCGGATCCTAGAAGACCTGCTTTCCGAGGGACCAACCCTACCTTATGAGGAAGTTTCTGAGACAGTCATTGATAAAATATAACATTACTGTCCAAAAGACTTACACAACACTGAGTCGCTGAGAAAGAATGATATATGTGTGAAATCATACAGTCAATAAATTACGAAATTTGGCAAAAGAAAATCTTTGAAAAGGGTTTGGCCTAGGAATTGGTACTCCGTCATTAATGAAGAGAAATTCAAATTACTGGTAAGAGATCAAAATAGTAAAAAAAAAAGTTTACGTGACTTTGGCACGTTACAATATTTTGTACAAATGCTCCTGAAAAAGGGTGAAGATGATAATTAAGAATATGAGTTTCAGCGCATTTACCACTTCCGAAGTCATCGCGCGATTATTTTTGCGATCGACTATACGTCATATAGACGGCATATCAACGTTATACAGGCGTCATATCGATTTGATATTTGGTCTTTTATAAGACATACCATGACGTCATATAATGACGGCAATTGGGTGCGACATTAGACCGTCATAATGACGTCATTTTTGTTGGTCGGCAAATTCCGACATTATGGCATGACTATGTTCACTGGGTTAACGATATTCATGTTTCGTTGTTTTCTCAATCACATTCGAAAAAAAGGCTTGCCACGCCTTTTTTTATAAATAAGAGGAAATGGTGGTGTGGTTCGTCTTTCCTTTTTTTTAAATTAAATCAATTAATAAAATAGTAAATTACTATAAATAAATCTTAGGGTCGACCAATGCAAAACAGCTGTCGAATGGCGTGCAAATTTAGGCACTAGCTCAATAAATCGGAGAGTAGGGGGAGGGGTTAAGAGCACCAGTGACTCAAGACGGATTAGGTCACAAATCCCCGAGATGTTAGTCGGAACTTGTTTTGCTTGACCACCGCACAAGGAAAATAATCTAACAGTAATCATGAAACCTAATTAAATGTATACAGAGCGCCAAATAAAACAAGATATTTAAAAAAAGAATCACAATATATTGTCAAAACAAGCAGCACATATGCTCCACCACTGGAATGCAAGTTAAAAGAAAAGATGTTATTAAAAACTACCTGACAATAAAATTAATAGACCATAATAACTAACCCTGCAAAACGTTAACCTAAACTTAACTGGAAGAATTACAGCTCTAGGCGTAGCTGTGATGTTCTCAGCTCTCAAAAACTCAGGTCAAAAATCAGTGGCCAGTAGTGAGCAGTGACGTAAGGAACGTCACAAGGTAGGGACTACTTGCCTCGTTCTCAAAATATATGGTGTAAAAAAACCTAGAGAGAGAAAAAGATTATTTAAAAACCTACTCTATGTCTGAGACAGAATTTATTTATTTAAAACACTCAAACTTGACGAAAAATCCATGTACATTTTCTATTACTGGAAAACTACTTTTCTTTTTGCAAGGGCAAGAAAAGATAGAAACTTACAAAAGTCATATACGCTCAGAAAGTTATCCCTTGTTCTAAAATAAGTTATGGCAGCTTAAAGTTCAAAATCATGATTAATGTAATGTAATACGGCCAAAAGACAGCGACATGTAGGCACTACCCTATATTTGAATACGTAAAATGCCAATCAAAATCAAGAACACAAAGAATTTCAATCAGCAACAATCAATACATCAATATCTATAAAATACACAATTAAAATAATATGTAACCTGTTCACATCAGGGTTTTCATAAAGGGGAAGAGATGGCTTCCACCAAAATTGGAGGAGTGTGAATGGTGGTTCTCTACAATGGTTTTCCACTAAAAGGAATCAGATACTGAACAAACTTCTTCAGGGCAAACATTAATGGACAGTCCGATGGTATACAAAAGAGAACTTACCGCTGGAGGTTAAAATCCCATCACAAAATGGACGGGGTAGTACCCACCAACACAACTAAACGTAAGGTACAAAATATACTAAGTGACATATAAATCCGAACACCCAGTTTAAATGGTTTTATTTCAATAAAAATTCACTAACGCTCCAGAAATGAATATTTCAGCCGCAGTAAAGAATCAACGTTGGCGGATTTTGGTTCTTGACATCCTTTACGATCGGTTACGATGCCTAGAGTACGGAGACCTGTACGATTTCGTCAAGTGAGTTTGAAAGGGGCCGTATAGTGGGACTTCGGGAAGCTGGACTTTCTTTTCGGGCAATTGCAGTTAGAGTGCAAAGAAGTGTAGACACTGTGGTTAGGTGTTGTCGAGCATGGCTTCGAGAAGGCCGTACGCGAAGAGCACGGGGCACTGGACGCCGCCGTAGAACAACAGACCGTGAAGATCGCCGCCTAAGATTATTGGCCTTAAGGGACCGTTTCTCCACTACCAGGTCCATTGCAAATGAATGGTTTGCAGAACACGGAAGACCTATTGACATGCGAAGTGTTTACCGACGAATGAGAAGTTTTGGTGTGTTTTCATACCGGACACACTGGGTCCTCCCTTTAACTCGAGAACACCGACATAATCGCCTTGAGTGGTGCAGACAACGGTCACTCTGGGATCAGGAATGGAACAGTATTGTCTTTAGTGACGAAAATAAAACCATTTAAACTGGGTGTTCGGATTTATATGTCACTTAGTATAAAATGGTATTACTCCATAAACTGGTGTTTGGGGCGTTAATACCCCAAAAGCTGGAGGTTAACCGCACACAACCAAAATCACAGCAGAAAGAAAATGGCGCTGGACTGTCTGAGCACACAACCCCCTAAAAGAAGGTTGAATAAGTGGCCCTGAAGAAGGCACGTTCGACAGAACATCAAAAGGAACAGATAAAAGCTGGTAAAGGAGATATCTTAATAGTAAGGCAAATTTTAACAGAAGCTAAACATTCATATATGGCTAGTACGTATAACCATCATAAGATGGCGCACTGGTTACGGATGGGCAAACTGTAGGCAGAAACAAATCTTTTTTGCGAGCGATCAACGATATTTTATAAGGAAACTTCTAAGATCGTTAATAATACTATAACATTAGGGTCCAAAAGATTACAATACAGTATCGAGTCGCTGAGAATGACAGATGTAATACATGTAAAATTCTACACTTAATAAAGTATGAAATTTGACAAAAGAAAATCATTGAAAAAGGTTTGGTCTAAGAAACGGTACCCTACTATCAATGAAGAGAAATTCAAATTACTCATAAGTGATGAAAACAGTAAAAAGAAAGGGTATGTGATTTTAGCACGTGACAGGCTACATATGAAAATTGTCCCCTAAGGTATCCACACCTAGATCAATCCAAACTAAGGTATATTGTGTCAAATCACAGTCAAAGTTCCAGATCGATAGGTCGCCCCTAGGAGCCCTTGATTTCAAAAACGATTATTTTCGAAAATATTTCTATACGGTCAAAATTTAGTATAAACAAGTTTTGAAAAAAAAATACCATTTCTACATTGTTATATTATATTTCTACATAACCGAGATTTTTTTTGCAGCTATTTATGAGGTTATTCATGTTTTTTCGTTCTGAAAATACGGCTCAGATAGTATCGGATCGATAGGAGAAGACAGGGAATAGCGATATAATGTATTATCTAATATTAGAACGTTCTCTTGCTTTTTTCACTATTTTTTCTGCTATGCTTTTAGGCACCAATGCGAAAACAAGTTATCTGTCATGTGAAATACTTTGGGGACAGAAATTCGTAAACCTCGTGAGCTTCAATGAGAAACATCAAAGTTATGAAGCTGACTTCAAGCTGTTCGATAAGATGGAATGGGTTGAAACGCCCTTTTGCTCTGCTGCTGAGTATGAGGCTCAAGGTAATTTAGTTCTTGTTTTTATCGTTGTAATAGTTAGTTGTAATAGACATACTGTTGGGGGTGAGTGACCTGTATCCTCATGATGAAGACATTAGAAATTATCCGAAAACATTACATTTTCCATACGCGTGGCTGTAAAGAAATGATTCACTTTAAAATGGTATTCTCGATCATCGATGATGACTTATCGGGTTCAAGAACCATCAAGGTATTGAAGAAACGTAAACGACCTTTTTAGTAGAAAATTACATGATCAAACGAACTTACCTGAAAGTGATGTTCGATCTTAATTATGTGAGGTCCTCGTGGAAGTTAATATTCAGAATACATATCGTAGTACCCTCGTAGTAGTATCCAACCACCACGATTTGAAAGCGCCCATGCAGAGAAGGAAAGCGGCATCGCGCCCCTTCCCCCTCTCTTCTGGCCGCCCATAAACCTTCATTTACTTTAAAGCCAAGTTGTTGCAACAATTGGGTGATACATAGGGAGGGACAGAGCTATATGAAATTTGCTATCACAAGCAAATGAGAAAAGATTTTTGACCATACCTTGTTGCTACGTTGTCCCAAACGCTTTCAGTGTTGTTAATTGTGCAACGAAGTTCGGTATTGAGTCATTTTTCCAAACACCTTCATTCGTCTTTGGTGTGGACTATCACAAGCTAGGTCCACGTTGCTATCCCAAGCAACCGAGTCTTATGCTTCCACGTTATCCCAAACGTCTTCGTTCGTCCTTGGTGTGGAGCTGACAATCCCAAGCCAGGTCCACGTTGCTATTCCAAGCAACCGGGTCCAATGTTTCAGCGTTATCCCAAACGTCTTTGTTCGTCCTAGGTATGGAGTTGGCTATCACAAGCTAGGTCCGGGTTTCTATCCCAAGCAACAGTGTCAGAACGTTATCCCAAACGTCATGTTAGGCACAATTTGCAGCGCCGATGAAGCATCCATACTAATATTCATTTAACTTGCACCTAAAACAGATCGGTTAGTTGATGGTGACGCCCCTTCAGAAAAAGAGGCCTGCACGCCGCTTTCTAATTTTGGTCCGCGATGAAAGGAACCTTCAGGCGACCGTCGGTCGGTAACTCGTTCGACAATGCACATCTAACGGCCAACCTTCTGTTCTGTTTTCTAATTCTAAATGTTTAGCGGATCTTCGACTCTGCACTGCACGTAAGCGACGCGCGACGATTAACGTCTTGGCGGCCAGAGGGGAGAAAGGTAGGGGGAAGGGGCGCGGTGCCGCTTTACTTCTATGCGTGCGCGCTTTGAAATCGAGGCGGTTGGGTACTACTGTGAGGGTACTACGATATGTATTCTAAATATTTACTTCGACGAGGACGGAACATAATTGTATTTTCTTATTACATGTAACAATATATAGGCAACGAAGAAAACAACACAAAAACAACTGAAGGCAACTCGATCACCTATACTGACTCGACAAAAAAGGAGAAGGAAGATACATTGCAATGCAATGGTGTAGCTGAAGATACTGTAGCAAAACATGGTAATGAGTTTGAGGAACATGAACTGAGTAAAGCTCATCAGGAATCAGGAGATTGGGAATATGGCAAACAGCGGATTCCGGTTTATCAAGATGTCATTTATGAAGAAGATGAATGTGAAGATAGCGATGAAAGAGCAGATACCCCACCTTTTCCTGTGACTTGGGTCTAAATACATTTCGCGCTACATGACTATTTGTATAGCTAGTAGGATTTTCTTTGTGATTCAAAACAAGTCCCTCTGCAACCATGTCCTACTAAGTAGCAACATTCAAAATCATTACTCACTTCCGAAATGGTTTCTGCTCGGACAGGTTAACGCACATCACTCTCTTCTTAATTATGTTTATACATGTCTTGATAGAAGGAGGTTTGCACTCTTCTTCGAGATGTCCAAGGCGTTCTTATACAATAGTCATTAAATCATATTTGAATCATCGATAATTTGTAGTGAATGTTTGTCTAGGCGTCTCCAAGGTTCCACTTTGAGACCACCTTAATTTATTTGCTCTTTACTGTTAACCGTAGAAAAATGAATATCAGCAAGCTAATAGCGACGCAGTTTTGTACTGGGTCAGTATCTAACAGAAGTAATTTATTACAGTAGTATTTCAGGTGGAAGAGTGCGGATCGACAACTAATGTTTGCATCAGATTTATGTACTTTTTCTTTTTCTGTACTTACATGAGCAATAAAAGCAATTTATTATTATTATTATTAGTTATAGTAGATTCTAACCTTATTGGTCTATCAAGCACTACAGCGTTTCTGGGACATCGCATTGACAGTGGTATGAGTTGGATAACGAACATCGATGAACTGGGTAAAAAGCATAAATGATTTTTTCTCCAGTCCACGGTGTAGCACAGTGCGGTAGCGGGAACCAATTTTCAAATTTTCCCGAAGAACAGGAATAGACGGATGTGACGTCATCCAAAAGTAAAAAAATCACGTAGTACGGTTAACCGCGTTACGTAGACAGCATTATCAAGTACAAAGACGGCATTGCCGTCAAGCTTTGGGAGCATTTCTTCAAACCATCGTTCAAATAAACTCCCGTCCATTTCTTCATGGTGTCGGTCATTTTCTTTGACTCAAATGCCCATAGGGCAGTGGGCACAAAGCCATATTCGCTGCCAATGTGAGATAACAAATCGGTTTCGTTTTCCTGGAAATAATTATTTCATATATTCATATTCATTATCCAAGAAAACTAATAATAATACAGAGCATCTAACAGGTGTTGGTCACAAATCTACCAGTTTTGTGTAGCTAAGTTTTGATGAACTGGTTAGACATACGTGCCTGACGGATTTTTTAGGCCATTGTTTAGTCCATCTAAGAAGGTTTGTCCAGCTGATTTAATTGTAGAGTCAACCCATACTTTAGGTTTTGTATGTCCTGCATTTATCCAGGTTTCATCCAAGCAATAAATCCCTGCCGTGGTCGCGGTATTTCTTTATTGATAATAAATATACTAAGTGACATATAAATCCGAACACCCTGTTTAAATGGTTTTATTTTAATAAAATTTGGTGAATGTATTTATCTTACTGTAAATAACAAGTGAACAAATTTTCAGCCTTATCAGTTGGACATTCCGGTTTTTATACTGCTTTTTTTTAATTCACTAACGCTCTAAAAATGAATATTTCAGCCGCAGTAAAGAATCAACGTAGGCGGATTTTGGTTCTTGACATCCTTTACGATCGGTTACGATGCCTAGAGTACGGAGACCTGTTCGATTTCGTCAACTTAGTGAGTTTGATAGGGGCCGAATAGTGGGACTTCGGGAAGCTGGACTTTCTTTTCGGGCAATTGCAGGTAGAGTGCAAAGAAGTGTAGACACTGTGGTTAGGTGTTGTCAGGCATGGCTTCGAGAAGGCCGTACGCAAAGAGCAAGGGGCACTGGACGCCGCCGTAGAACAACAGACCGTGAAGATCGCCGCCTAAGATTATTGGCCTTACGGGACCGTTTCTCCACTACCAGGTCCATTGCAAATGAATGGTTTGCAGAACACGGAAGACCTATTGGCATGCGAAGTGTTTACCGACGAATGAGAAGTTTTGGCTTGTTTTCATACCGGCCACACTGGGTCCTCCCTTTAACTTGAGAACACCGACGTAATCGCCTTGAGTGGTGCAGACAACGGTCACTCTGGGATCAGGAATGGAACAGTATTGTCTTTAGTGACGAGTCTCGATTTTGTTTAGGCGTGCACGATGGTCGTGCCAGGGTTAGAAGGCGACGTGGTGAAAGGAGGAATCCACAGTTTTTTGTTGAAAGACATGTTCATCACACTGTTGGAGTTATGGTTTGGGGTGCTATAGCTTATGGTTCCAGGTCACCTTTAATCTTCATCAGAGGTAACACGAAGTTCTAGAACCCCATCTTTTACCCTATCTTGACACCCTGGCTGATCCAACTTTCCAACAAGATAATGCCCAACCACATGTTGCAAGAGTCACAATAGACTTCTTTCAACATAATGATGTCACATTGTTACCATGGCCACCAAGATCTCCCGACTTATCCCCAATTGAGCACGTGTGGGATATGATGGGTAGGAGATTGCTCAATTTGCAACGTACTCCTTAGACTCTAGAAGCACTTCGAGAGGAGTTGGTGGTTGCCTGGAATGAGATACCACAGGAGGACATTGACCACCTGATCAGAAGCATGCCTAGGCGCGTTGGAGAATGCGTAGCACATCAGGGTGCATCCACACATTATTAAAGGTCAAAGGGCTTTAAAGCAGTGCAATTATTTTGAAATTTTTATCATTTACTTATTATGCTTCATTAAGTACTTATACAAAATTTCATTAAAATAAAACCATTTAAACTGGGTAATCGGATTTATATGTCATTTAGTATAATTTCTTCTCCATAAAATAATCTCCTGGCTAACCATCTGTTGCCCCATCGCATCTGTATTTTTTTCTTGGGAAAGACTGGATGTTGTAGCATTATGGTCTATTGTTTTTGTAAGGAATTGCAACTGATCGTGGAAGATATATTTTCCTAAAACCAGAGCCTGATTTAAGGGTTTTAATTTTTTATATAATACTTCACAAGACTGTCATGGATGTTGTTCCATTTCTGCAACAGTGCTTTACCTGAAAACACAAATGCATTTATTTTGTTTCAAAGTTTGCAATATCAAAGTGTTCCATTTTTAAAACTTAACCAATCACCTTACACCATACACTATAAGCAAAATGTAACTGCGCCTCTGTACCATGGCGACGTAAGAATGGGTGTCTACGCGCAAGCCTATGCTGATGACGTAAGCAACTATGCTAACTAACTACTAAGTTAGGGGGCGTTTTTGTAGAACAGTCTCGGAAATTATGCAGGGCGCTCCGTGGAATCGTGGTGCAGGGAAGTCGATCTTTCTGTTAATGCTGAAAAGACCGAGCTGATCCTATTCACTAGGAGAAGAAGGCTTGACGGGCTGGTCATGCCGACCTTCTTTGGGACTAGATTAGTTTTGTTCCAGTCAGTGAAATATCTGGGAATTATCCTGGATTGCAAACTGAACCGGTGAGAGCATGTTGAATACAAGATTAGCAATTCGATGTGGGCTTGCAGACGTGTTGTCGGGGTAAGGTGGGGGATCAAACCCAAAGTGATATACTGGCTCTACACGACGATAGTACGTCCATCTCTCTTGTATGGCTCCCTGGTCTCCTGGCCTTGCATTGGAACTGAGACAACTAAGACCAAACTCAATAAAATTCAGCGTTTGGCCTGTATTAATATTACAAGCGCAGTGCGAACAACTCCATTGAGTGCAATGGAAGCTCTGTTGGATCTCCCACCGTTGGATCTGGTGATCTGCGGTGAAGCGAGAGTAGTCGCTCATCGACTGTGGAGTCAGGGCAGCTGGGTTTTCTTGAATCCTGTCAAGGGGCATACTGCCATCTTAGTCGAACTACAAAGGGAGGACCCCGTACTTCTAAGCAGGGGTGATCGTATTACCCCTAAATATCGCTTCAACTGCAAGTTTATTGTGGAGTATCCAACGAGGGAGGAGTGGGACGCCGGTAGCCGGGTACTGTCCGGAGTGAGCGGGCAGGTCTGGTACACGGACGGCTCGGTCACCGAATAGCGCTCAGGTGCTGGGGTCTCTGCGCCTAGAACTAGGCTATCTCTGCCTCTCGGTGGATACACCACCATTTTCCAGGCGGAAATCTTTGCGATTCTGGCTTGTGTATCTCACATTCTGTAGGAGGGTGGGCCTAGGAGAAGAATAACAATCTTATCCGACAGCCAGGCTGCAATGAGAGCACTAAGTGCCTGTAAGATTACTTCGAGTCTTGTATTGCAATCCAGGGAGGCTCTGGATTGCCTCGCAGCGAGGCATCCGGTATCGTTAATATGGGTACCGGGGCTCGCTGGGATAAGGGTCAATGAGACGGCGGACACTCTGGCGAAGACAGGATCAGCCAGCAAGCTCGTTGGTCCTGAGCCAGCTGTAGGAGTGACCGCGCATAAAGCTAGGAGGAAAATGGAGACGTGGGTTGCAAGACAACACTCTCAGAAATGGAGAAATATCTCCAGACATCTCCGCCAGGCACGAGAACTCATTGAAGGGCCCAGTGCTAAGGATGCACCCTTCTGCCTATCTTTGGATAGAGCCAACCTAAGGTTGCTGGTGGGACTGTTGTCTGGCCATAACACGTTAAGGCGTCACCTGCACGTGATGGGGGTGGCTGAGGATCCCTTGTGTGAACGCTGCGGTGTAGAGGAAGAGACCTCGGCGCACGTTTTGTGTCGCTGAACTACTATAGGCAGACTATACTGGGGTCCATTACTTTGGACCCTCAGGACGTCAAGGAGCTTGGACTCAAGGCGATTCTCAACTTCGCTAAAAGGGCAAGGCTTGTGATCTAAGGATTGTAGAGGTGCATAAGGGCCCGCTTAAGCGGCCTATGCACTGACTCCTTGTGGTGGCCGGAATGCCTCTAATTTCAAGATTCATTCATTCAAGAATCCCCGTTCGTGTGTCAACAAGTATAGACTAGCATATACTGAAATGAATGCGCCGGTTAATTTACTGATCGGCTTCCGTGTGTTTGCCGTCCGAATTTTAATATGACCGGCAGAATAGCCAACGCCGTCAAGTGTGTTAAATTGTATTCGAATGTAAGTAAAATTATGTTATCCGTTTTTTTTGCCGGTCGGTGAAACAACCGTACGGCGGAATAATCGGTCGTGTGCAAGAGGCCTTAGGCGGCTGCCGCTTTGCCGCGCTGGATTTTTGTTGTGCCGGGGCGTAAATTGATTACGAATAGGGTATAGCGGGTGATGTTTGATGGACAGCGTTTTGAAATAACATCTAAATTAGTTTCGTACGTGGATTGTTTTTTGCCAAAACAATGCTGATAAAAGTCTCAAACGTAATATTCTGTCTTTACCCTATGGGCACAAGAAACACGTGCTCAGGATCCCGGCCCTAATTGTCCATAAATCTAACAAAATAAAGAAATTGTCTGATAATCTCCCGCTAAACCAGGCTTTTCAACTTGCTGCAACGACAATGTAGGACCCCGGATTTTGCTTAGGCCCAGGTCCCCTTCAGCAGCTATGTGCTCAAGGGCCCCACACTTTTATCAGCTTGACCTATATGTATGTTTGTATGTATGTATGTATGTAATGGAATCTTTGAGCATAATTTTCACCAATTTCCAGATATTTGATTAATTTGAAACTTCGCACACGTATCGAGGACCGATGAAAATGAATTGATAACAGTTTTCCATAATCCTTATAAGAAAAAAATCTGTGATATGTTAATAAAAAGCTACGGATTTCAAATGCCGTTTTACGAGTATTGAAATTACAAGCCTCCGTAGCTCAAGTGGTAAAGAACTGGTCTTATAAACCAGGAGTCGTGAGTTCAATCCTCACAGGAGGCAGTTCGTGGTAAAACTTTTTTTTATTTTTTTAGCACGCATTTATTAGTTTGACCTGTATGTATGTTTGTATGTATGTATCTCACGGAACCTTTGAGCATAATTTTCACCATTTCCAGAGGTTTGATTAATTTGAAACTTCGCACACGTATCGAGGACCGATGAAGATGCAATAATTTGATAACAGTTTTCCATAATCCTTATAAGAAAAATTCTGTGATATGTTGATAAAAAGCTACGGATTTCAAATGCCGTTTTACGAATATTGAAATTATAAGCCTCTGTAGCTCAAGTGGTAAAGCACTGGTCTTATAAACCAGGAGTCGTGAGTTCAATCCTCACAGGAAGCAGTTCGTGGTAAAACTTTCTTTAATTTTTTTAGCACGCATTTATTAGTTTGACCTGTATGTATGTTTGTATGTATGTATCTCACGGAACCTTTGAGCATAATTTTCACCATTTCCAGAGGTTTGATTAATTTGAAACTTCGCACACGTATCGAGGACCGATGAAGATGCAATAATTTGATAACAGTTTTCCATAATCCTTATAAGAAAAATTCTGTGATGTGTTAATAAAAAGCTACGGATTTCAAATGCCGTTTTACGAATATTGAAATTACAAGCTTCTGTAGCTCAAGTGGTAAAGAACTGGTCTTATAAACCAGGAGTCGTGAGTTCAATCCTCACAGGAGGCAGTTCGTGGTAAAACCTTTTTTTCTTTCAACTGCCTGTTTGGAGCACTATTCTAAATCTGATTATTTCATGATGTGATAACTAAAAAAAATGTTATCATTTTGTTTTCAAAAAAGTGCATTTTTGTGCATTCTTTCTTGGATCGTAACTTGCTAACAAATATCAATAGAGCTTTGAAATTGCATGTGAATACCTCAATTTGCAACAAAATGGGTTTCCAAGAAAAGCAAGGATTTTTGGAGGAGACAAAGTACTATTATTTGTTAACAAGTTATGAGTGAAAAAATGCCAAAAATGCAAAAAATGCATTTTTGATAAAAAAAGAATGATAATATTGTTGTTCAGTCATCAAGAATACTTGTTCAGACAGGAAGTTGCAAAACGGCACATGCGACGTTAAGATGACCCTGCACTCATATACACTGTTACTGCATACATATACTTATGTTGTTATGGCAGACCCAGAATAGAGGGAAAAGCCTAGTTTCTCATTTGATTGCATCAATTTACCTGCATAATTTAGTAATTAGCATTATGTCAATTTGCAACACATTTTTCATTGTTTATAAACACAGAATTAAATAGAATTAGTGCTTAAACTAGTCTGTGAGTATATTAGCACAGTAATTTTGCTTACAAATTTTCAACATTAAATGATTAAGTGTATGCAGAGTAGTTACGTATTTGGTAGAATTAAGAAGAAACGAGAAAATCCAACAAACAGGTATACTTTATCTGAAGTCACTTGAAATAGCATAAAAACCTTTGGTCGGCGCGTCCTTTGTAATTTCATGACGTATCATAGGCGTGCGGTCATTTATTTAGAACGATAATAATAATGTTTTTATATCACAATAAATGGATTTTACTATCTTCTTATTTTTTTGATTTGGGATAAAAAATACTTATATTGGGAGTTTAATTTATGTTGACTGAAAGTTAAGAAATGGAAAAATTACAGAATTCCAACGTTTGACATAGGCAAATATTTACATAGCAGGTAGGTATATAAAGACTTACATTATAGGTATTTATATATCATCCTCGCCTTCGGAGCTGTCGCTAGAGTCATCTTGTAGAGGAGTTACAACGGGATTTACAGGAGGCAAAACACAATATTCATTTTCTTTTTCAATAATATGCCTAGAACACTGCTTCTATAGGTCTATGGCAGCAATATGAGATACTGCATCTCTTATTGTGGCCAATAGCGATTCACTTAATTGAGGGGTCTGATTATGTTTTCTTACTTTTTTTTTAAAGACCAACTCAATCGGGTTAAAAATGCAGTAATAGGGAGGTAGACGTAATACTTCATGGCAATTTTGCTGAAGCAGATTGTCAACAACATACTCTTTTTCAAATTTTTGTCTTTTAATAAGATCCAATAATATGGCTTTGGTTGATTTTTGGGGTAGTTCCATTCCCTTATCCTTCATAAAATCAATAATGTCTTGTTTTTTCGTGCCTGTATTCGGAATTTTGTTTTTCTGTCGGGAATGGTATGGCGCATTGTCCATAATAATCACTGAATTTGGGGAAATGTTTGGTATTAACTGCTGCTCTATCCACTTTTCAAATAAGTCGGAGGTCATGTCCTCATGATAGTCGGCACATGATTCTTTGATATTTTTGGCAGATAACAGCAAGGCATTAGGTATAAATCCATTTTCACTACCAGCATGGAGAATAATGATTCGTTTTCCACGGTTGCATGGTACATTTAAAATGCACTTGTTGCTGTCGTCAACCCAGCCGTACTGCACAACATCATGGTTATCATACCACGTTTCATCCAGATAAATCAGATTTCTTTTCTGCTCTCTATAGATTTTAACTTTGTGCAAAAATTCTTGGCGCAATTCAACGATTCGAGACGACTCCATAATCACCATTCTTTTATCTAATTTTTTGTATTGAAAACCACACAGTTTTACAATACAGTGCAGTGAGTCTAAGCATTTGTAATTATAAAAATCTTCAGGATAATCTTTTAATTTATCCCGTATCATTTCCAACGTGGGCACCAAATTTTCTTTATAAAATCCGTATATTATACGACGAATATCTTGAAACCCCACGTCTATTCTTTTTAATTTTTGCCCTATGCGCTTTCTGTGCAAGGAATGGTTGACTACATCTCCCCTTTTTATAACCCGATAAATGGTAGACCGACTGATTTTTGTCAGGATACAAATTCTGTTTAAAATTTGATTTTGCGAGGAATCTGGATTTTCGTTTTTCAGACAATCATACATATTTAGGATTACTCTTTGGGTCTGTTCCTCTAAATCTTTATGAAAGAATTCTGCCTGCACAGGTTCATCAACCATCTCCTCGTGGCTTGGAGCATTTTCCCAAGGTCTCCAAAGAGCCATATTTAGTACACACAAGAACAATCAACACAACAATTAAATCAACAAGTAAACTGAGTATTCAAAAGTCAAAAACACACAAACTAATAAAGTCTATGAAAAAACACGGACAGACTAAAGAAAACACGTTTATTTACCGCTACACGGCACTGGCTAAACTGTTTCAATTTTCAGTAGCCACCTGCACTTGTTCGGAGCTCTGAAATACACGCTTTCTGATTGGCTATGTCCACGCATAGGCGTGCTTTACTCCACGTGGACCGGTGAAACTGCCTTTGATCTT